GGTTTTTCTTCATCATTAAAACTCTATATTCCTTCTTTCATGTCACATTTTTTGTAATCCTTTCTTACCTCTATTACACTTGGAATAATCCTTCTCATTCCTTTTCACATGTGCATTAAACCTCCTCTAAGTTACAGACTTAGAGCTTCTAGAACAAGCATTCCATTTTTGTTGCAGTAAATGTGATGACCATTGTCATATCATCATTAAAAATCCCATGCATGTACCAATATGGGATTTATTCTTGGGGCTCTTCACATATTACTGTACTTTGTCAACCATAACACGAAATGGTGGCACTGTCTCCCACTTCACTGAAGCCTCTGTTACTCCTCTGGAGTCCAACTATTAGCCTGTAAATAACAGAGAAACATATGAAAGTGCTATGAATTTGTTTTTATTTACACTTTTTCAATCATTCTCAGTGGCAAATAACCTTAATCTTCTCAAGAAACAAAAAAGCTGAAGAAACTGCCAGTTCAAAAGTACCTTTTTAAAATCATAAATTTGTATGACAGTTTGCTTTTTTAAGATTGTAGAAAAACCTTTATATAGGCAGGACTAACCTACTCGAAGTTTGTTTTGCAACTTTAAAGAAACACTATGGCTCATTTTTCTTCAAATATTGTAAGAAATTGGAAAGTGTTCAAGTTTATAGTGAGAAGAGTGATTTGCCTTCTTTCTTATGGCAGTGCTGTTGATAAATTTTGCTTTGCATCATTTTACTAAACCTTGGTGTGGCAGCACCTGAATACCATATACACTTCCTAGCCATTAAAAACATAATATTCAGATTAAGAAAATATTTGGGTAATTATGGGTCTCCAGAACAGAAAGTGAATCCTGTTCTCAGGCATATTCTTTGGTGTGCTGCATCTGTGCTTTGCTAAATAGTTCGTGGAAGGACAGTCAATGAAGCTCAATGAAGCTGCGAGAGTTAGAAGAGGGTTTTTGCATACTACCAGTGTGCTAACAAGTCTGGAAGATTAAAACTGTAGTATTTACTTTTAGGAACTTGACAAATGTCTAATTGACTAAATACTGTTATCTCTGTAGTTGCAATTTTCTAGGTATTTGCTTTATTAAGTGACATTTAAAGAATACAACATATATTTTACCTAACTAGCAGGGCTTTCCATGGCAGGAGGGTTGGAACTAGATTATCTTAAGGTCCTTTCCAACCCTAACCTATGATTCTATGATTTCATGAAATTCAGTTCTTGCAAGCATGTTTTTAGCCTGTTGGTACCTTCTTTCATAATTTCTATTTCTTCAAGTCACTTTTAACTGGCTGATGAGCTTCAAGTACGTTTAAAAGAAAGGTTCAGATCTGAAGGTTACCAGATTTTCTGAAGTTTCAGCAACACTGTTGGCTGGATAAAGGAGACACCCAAATTAGTCCTTCAGTTCAGCTCAATAGTTTTTTCTGTTCTTTTTGTCCAGCTGGTGGATAGAGGACACAGGAAGATTTGGGAGTTCCCTTCTCTGGGAGCTTGTGGATTTAAAAGGATGTGCAATGGATGCATCTGGGATATTGATGGAAAGGAACAGAGAGGAACATAGAAACACAAATTCATTGAAATTCAGGTTTGAATAGTGCTGTCAGAAGTTTAAAGTGACCAGCACAAACCCCTAGAGATAGCAGGAAGCCTGTGAGACAGGTTTACAAGACCCGTTACACATGTTTTTAAAGTTAACTTCTGATACATTTCTTATCTCGTATAAATGAAATAATATTTCCCTTGGCCATTTTAGTGCCTTCACTGAGACCCCCTTCCGAGACTCCCCTTCTCAAAGTCTGAAGCAGATACTTCTTGTCTGCACTGACTTGAGAACTTCCCCCCAGGCTAACAGGCATGGTCCATAATGGACCTTCTCTACACAGTGTCAGTGTTTCCCATCTTAATCTCTGTTTATTTCTCCTCTGCTTCCCATGCTCAGCACTGTAAAGCAATCACTTTGCCTGCTCATTTGACTCACATTTTAAGACTGATTCCTTCCATGGGGTGTACCATAAAGCTGAGGACAGCAGGACCTGGGCTGGTGTCAGGCTGTGCCTGTTGCTGCTGACAGCAGGAGCAGCCTGTGGTCACTCTCATAGTTATTTGCTACCTCATTTGACCTACATCCCTTAAGCCCATTTGTTTGCCTCGTCACCTAACTACACCAGGCCTTTGAGAGCAGGCCTACACTGCTCTCCAGAGAAGTAATTACAGCATGTACAAATCGTACTGGTCTCAAAGGAGAGGCAGTGGGGCTGATGGCCTTTGTTACTTCTTCAGGGTGTCTGTGCCATGCACTCTGTGTTGCCCCATTTTAATTTTGCCACTTAACATTGTCTCAAAAAATTTCCCTTGTAATATATGAACACTGTTCAGATTGTGCATAAAATGTTGTTCTAAATATACTTTGTGAAGTGGTGAAAAAGGAATGACACGTGATCAGAGGCTTTTTTTCAAATACCTTAGGTTTACTAGGAGGAGTAGTTATAGTGCATAAGGAAACAGACTATTTAACCTGCAGTTTATAGCTGGGAAAATAAACTCACAAAATCGTTGAATAGGTTGGAAAAGACCTTTAAGATTATAAAGTCCAGCCATTACAGCAGGACTGCCAAGTCCACCACTAAACCATGTCACTTAAGGGCCTTATCTATGCATTTTCTGAACATTTCAAGGGATGGTAATTCTGACACTTTCCTGGGCCGCCTGTTCCAATGCCTCACCCCCCCTTTCGGTGATATGCAGCCTAATCCTCAGTTGGTGCATGCTTGAGCACGGGTAAGAGCTAGCTGATGTGATGGCCAGTGCTACATGGCAGGACTACAGTGCGAAGCCTGTGCCATGACAAAAGCAAGGGTGAGCGGAACCCGCGTCCGTAGCAATGCACGGTGAGAGGTGAGGTGGCAGCACGGATGAAACTGTGAAGGTTCTAAACGCGATGACCCTTGGTGGCCGGATGCCTTCCGCTGGGGCACCGCCGCCGCACACAGGGCTGACGCTCCTTCCCGCAGCCCTGGCTGCGGCCCGGCGGGAATCCCTGCGGGAATCTGCGGGCGGAGCGGAGCGGACGCTGACCGGGGTACCCGGGGGTTCCCGCCCCGCCTCTCCCCGCCCCGCGGGCCGGCGCTGCCCGCCCTCCGCTGCCATAGCGATGCGGGCGGCGGCGGGGACGGGCTGCGGCGGCGGCGTGAGCCGGCTCCCCCCAGGTAAGACGCTGCTCCGGCAGCGGCAGCACGGCGGGGAAGTTGCTGTAGGCTCCGCGCTGCGAGCCGAGTCCTTCATTTCATTGCATTGTACTTGTTCTCCTGCCTCTCCCTCTCCCGCTCCCTTTCTCAGGTGCAATTTCTCCCAAAGCCGCTTCCTCTGGGAACTTCTCTGCCGAGAGCAGTGCCTCGCTCTCATTATTGTTATTTACTCTTTTATATTTTCCCGCTTGGAAATTCGCCAGCGGTCCAAGAGCACAAGGACAGGCCCTTCAAGTTTCGGTGCCCAGCGGGCTTTTTGTCCGGCCCCGGTGCCGCGGTGGCGGGGACAGGCTTGGCCCGGCTCGGCTCTGTACTGCCTTGCAGCCCGGCGGGCTCCCGCCGCGACCCCGTGAATGAGGGGGATTAAAAACAGCGCAGAAGGAGACTGCGGGCGTCTCGCTGGAACACAAGAAAATCCTTTCATCCCAGAGGGACGGAGGCTGGCAAAACTTGTTGAACTGCACTCAGGAGGAGCAGCCTTAAAACCAGTGGGTTCCGAACTCCTCGTTTCACGTGGTGGTCGGGGTTTGCTGTGCGGGGTCTACTGCACCTCAGCCCGCTTGATACAGCCCGGCAGCGGTGGAAGCCCCGGCAGGTTAACGCATCTCTTTTGGGGGCTCTGCCACCGGTCCCCCGCTTTCCGAGGAGCACCCACCACTGTCCCTCGGAGCCCCTGCGGCCACTTGAGTGGAAAGAGACAAAGAAGGGCCAGGGCTGCCTCTCTCCACCAAGCAGAGCTGTGGCTTCCTCCTTTCGGGGTAGGGAGATATCCCTCGCCTCCTTCCGCCGGCAGTGGCAGGTTTGTGAGGATCCCACTGGCACTTGCAGAGAAAACCTTCGTTTTTAAGATGGTGCCAGCTTTGGCCTGAGCATCCCTGTGTGTTGGACTGAGTGGTTTACGTGCGTTGGGCAGCACGGGGGTGAAAGCACCTGTCTGCCTGGCAGAGACTCTTGGCCAGGGCAGGGTGGCCATGGCTGGTGGTCCCCACACACCGGAATGTGGTTTGGGCTGCTGGATCTCCCAGCCTCAGCCTCAGGGGGAGATCCCTTATGCAGCATGTCCCAGTCACAGAGACTGGTCAATTCCAAATTTGTTTTCATTGTGCTGTCATGACAGCATAGCCTGGCTTCTGGCTTTATGTACTTCTGAATCTTGTTTTCTTTGGCTGGGAGAAACACTTTCTGTGCACTTGATGTAACTTTCAGGTTTACCTGCTAAGGCACAGATAAGACAGTTGAGCATCACACAGCCTTCTGACAGCAGCAAGTGTAGGAAAAAATACTTAGGTTTTCCTCTTCTGTGCCTGCTGTTTGAGGATTAGGTGGCACTTGATGGTCATTCTCAGTTCTTCGGGTAAAAACTCATATGTCTTGGGGCTCAGTGCTGAGCACAATGAGGAGGGAGACTGGATTGTTGTCGTTGGGGGTTTCTCTGTCTTAAGTGTGGCTGTGAATTGTATTTAGTGTTGTAAGGTAGGTGTGGTAGTCATACTGACTTTATTAACTTATTAAGCATTATTGAGGACAAGTACATATTGAAATTATTCTGGTCTCTTAAACTGCTAATGAATGCAATAATACTTTGAGGGTGTTATGAATTCCTTCTCTCCACTGCAACACACCTTTGTTCAGTGAGAAAGAACTCCTTTATTTCCTGTGTGCCTTTATTTCCTACAATAGGGCTCAAACTTCTTTCAGTTGGGGACTTTGTAAGGAGATTTCTCTAACGGTTGCTTTTGTTTTCCTGGTGCAGGCAGTGCAGCCTGAGGGGCTCAGCTCACCCAGCCGATGGGAAAGCAAGACAAACCAAGGTGCAGCAGATGAAGGAGAGGCAGCAAGGTCAGCTGGTGGAGACAGCAGTGTCGTTGCTTTGAGCTACCCCAGCCTCCATCTCCATGCATACAGTGTCGAGAGCATGACAACATTTCCAAATGGTTGTGGAAATGGCACCACCGTTACTTGTATAGTTATGGAGAATAAAGAGCCCCACAACCAAACTACATGTGTCAGTCATAATGGGGGGTACAGCACCAGCAACAGTCATGAGCAGGAAATTCAAGAGGATAAACTCAGTCCTTCCAAAATCATGCGCTTTTTCACCACCCCTCGGAAACGGGCGAACTCCAGTTCTGACAGGCCTCGCTCTCTGGTTTTGATGGGCAACACAGCTACATGGAATGCTTTGTCTTCCATCAGAAAAATGGGATCTTTCAAGAAGCTGAAATCTTCAGTTCTCCAAGGAATTCAAACAAGGGAATGCTCAGACATGTTAAATGAGAATGGCATTGGCAAACAGGGTTCAAACGGGACAGTGGTGCGAGTTCAGACTAACAGGTATTCTTATTCGGGGCCTCTACAGGATTTCCAGAATGAGGTGGATGGTTTAGGTTCTGACTGCTCTGATGCGGAGGAGTGTGACGAGTCTTTCCTGAGGAACACTCACCGCTCACGCAGCATTCGGCGGGCTTATGGTGCTGGCCGCATAAACTTGCTAGACACGGATAAAGTTGAGAGTCATCACAACTGTACAAGGCCCATGTCGCCTGTTATTGCAGAGCCAAAGATCTGTGAAATCTTGGTGAAAGACTCTGAAAACAATAGGGTCATTTATCGGAGAAGCAAAAGTTCGGATAACTTGAACTTCCTGAAAAAAAGCTCATTCAAACGGAAGTCCACCTCAAACCTTACCGACCTCAAGGTACCAAATGACAAACAGATGCCAACCAGGACTGTGAGTGATACTTCTGCTGACTCGGACAAAACCGGTGGGAACCTCGAGAGGAGATCCAAGCGGTGGAAGAGCCCTATCAGGGCAAAGGATTTTGACCGAGTTTTGAAACTGGTCAGTAACGTTACAGATGTCGCATGGAAGAAGGATGGCCCTAAGAACATGGCTCCTTCTCCCACCGAGCAGCCCCAGAGAACAAGGTCGAACAGCAGACTGCATGATGACTATTCCCGCAGGGTTTCCAGCAGCACGGATCATGACAGAAAGAGATGCACCTCCCCGGTATCTAGTCCAGACACTTCCTTGCCTGCAACACCTTGTCTGCAAAGCCCTGCAGTTGCTCAGGATAGGAAGGTTGAAATGAATGTAGCTGTTTCTGAAGATAAAAGCCTCGGGACGTCATCAGATATCCCAGACTCTGACAGCTTATCACCCACGCTGAATGACATTGGTCCATTTCCCAATGAAGTGTTCTATTCAGACTCGGATGAACCAAAAGCTACCCAGCAGTTTACATACGAAGCTGAAAACACTCATGCTCCAGTCAGGCCAACTACTCCAAAGCCTCAAAGTCCTCCTGCAGAGAAGATCAAGCACAATATGAATTTCCAGTGTCCAAACCATCACAGCACATTGTCACTGAGCTCATCAGAGAGCGAGGAGAGAGTTGAGGTACCTGGGCTGAAGCTGGGCAGGAACCCTGTTTGCTTCCAGGACTTGGTGCAAACTGTGTACTATGATGATGGAAATGAAGACAGCGGCATAAGCAGCCACTCACAGTTGAGCCTCAATGTAACCTCTGGTGCTGAAGAGAAAAAGGAAGAGGTAAGAAAGAATGCAAAATCCTTTAGAAGCTGTACAGGTATCTATCAGGTTTTGTCTTTATTAATGCAAAACAATGCAAACAATGCAATATAACCTGACTACTAGTACCTATTGCAGGTTGTTATTGCTAAAATATGCTGACAGCAATTATTTCCTTTAATATATTCTCTTTGGATGCTAACGTCAAATTATTTTTTCTTTGTGCATTAATATCAAAGACAGTTTTGGCAGCAAAGCCATTCCTGTTTGTTTTCAAGGGCAGCTTATTGCACCCTGCAGATATATCACCTTGTCATGTGGTCTTGTTGGATTTTCCAGCCTGAGCAGGGTCTGGCTGTTTCCTTCCAAGCTGAAAGGCCTCTGAAGTGTCTGAATGTTTTGAATTAGCATTGATTCAGTGCAAATAATTGGCTATGGAAGTCTTGAAGAGCATGGTAATATTTGTAGAGCAGTGTGGCATGAAACATACAGTAGAGAGATTTAAGCATTGAGGTGTCTCCAGTGTTTTCACTGGGAAGTGATGGCTATGCTGAGGGCGAGCTGTTTGGTTATTTATTTGTCTGTAAGTTTCAAATGGCAGTACTTTAGATGCTCGGCAGAGTGTGTTGCTACTAATGTTTTGGTGAAGATAGATATCAGCATTTCACTGCACCTAATGCATCATTTTATAGTCTCAGTAGATGGGTAGGAAGAGGTTGCAGCACCTCTGAGGTAAGGTCATGTAATAACCTTACCTAAAGCACAGTGTGAGCTGGCACCAGAGCAGTTGCAATAGCTTGGCAGTGTTGGTGAAGAGCTGTCAGATGTATCCTGCACCCATCTGAAACGGTGCAGTTACTGAGCCCCAGCGATGTGCAGTAATGTGGGTTTTGGGATGAGGCAGCAGAGAGATGTTTGCTACTCACTGGGAAAAATGCAGTGGGGCAAAAATCCCTCTGAATCTGTATGAGTATGGAAACAATTCACAGAATAAAGCTGGCATCTTCTACATCACCTCAGTTTGACTAAAAGTATCTGACACCTTAGGAATGGGGTAGACAAAGGCAATTGTTGCAGCTGTACAAACTTCAGCATTTCATGCTGTAAAGTCTTAATGATGTCTATGAAACTGTCTGACTTTTAAAAGCTTCTCTTGGTTTTTGCAGTCTAACTGTAAATGGTTACAGAGCTTATAAATATTGCCCTACTAGAGAAAAGCAAGTTTGTTTACTGTAGTGCTTGCAGCTATGGTAAGATTGGAAAAATAAACCCAGTGTATATAGATGCTGGGGCTTTGAGGCTATTCCTCTTCTGGAGTCCCAGAATTGCCCCAGCCATCCATCTTTTTCAACACCCACTTAAGAGTGTGTGCAAGGAGATGCTTTCACACCACTGGAAGATGTGAGAGCACCAATGTAGACTTGTATCAGTTCTATTTCTCAGGAACAAAATGGGAGGTAAGAATTAATGCTACTCATCTACCATCTAGTGGTGATCTGCGATCATGACTCAAGGGAAATTCAGTTGATCCCCCCCCTTGGCTTCAACAAACCAGTACAGTTTTTAAATGAATGTGTACACTGGGTGGATAAAAGTTACTGCAGTTTCAGTTTTAACACCACATTGTGTTATTATCTAACATGCAATTTAAGCTTCTCTTTATATTATAAAGTATTTTAGGTTAATTGTGAGTGCCTTCTAGTGCTCACTTCTGTTGTCTAAAACATGGAGTGTGCCTTGGTGGCAGTCTGAGTGGTGAACAGGCGCTGGTGTGGGATGGAGCCCTGCAGGAGATGAAGGAAATGGTGGCTAGGGGATGGACTCTTTGGCTGTTGGGGCAGCAGTGAGGGACTGTAGCCCCATCCCTCTGCTGTGAGCAGTGCATGGAAGTACTCTGCTGTAAGCAGCGCAGTCCCTGTGTATGGAAGAACAACTGCAGCCACCCAAATGGTGCAGCTGCATCCAGATGTCTCTTCAGATCCAAAACTCTGAAGTTTTGGAGGTGTTAGCTGTGGATTGGAAGCAGGAACTGTGCAGGACAAGGTTTACTTCTGTCTTATTATGCAAGAGATGTGAATTCTGTCCTCTGTTTTTCCACTCCTGCTCCTCATCCTATATGCAACCCTAAAGCTGTGGCACTCAGAGTGACTACAAAACAGGAAGAATGTTTCTCCCTGCCATTTCTTTGGGAGGTTGCTTGTTTATTCCTCCTTTACATCATGCTTCCTTCAGTGTGGAGGTAGCTTGGTATCAAAGATACTTACACCAGGTTATTTTTTATGTGGAGTTTATGCAGCCCACAGGCACTTTATGAACGCCACATACTCACACAGTGAGGTCACTGGGGTTTGAACGTTTGACTACAATTCATTTTCAATTCTACCTTATACAGAACTGTACCCACCCAGCAAGTTGTTCCTTTGACAGTCAAGTGCTTGGTTCATTCTCAACAAGCATTTGCGATGCCATGCTGAGTCATTTGCACCACAGATTTTAAAGACTTTGCCTGAACCTTAAATACACCATGTTGACAGACACATCTGCACTGTTTCCATGTTTCATGCATCTTCTTTTCTGTATGGTTTTCCTGTAAAAGCCACTACATATTCCTGTAGAGCCACTAAAATCTCTGTGGCTTGCAGACATGTCTCAGTACAAAGCTTACAATGTGCTAAGTGGTCAGGCTCAAACGTGTTCTCCTCTCAGGACTGGCTGCTGTAGCTGGAAGCAAATCTATTTTAATTCCCTTACCCACTCATTTAGTAGGCTAGTCAGCAAATGAAGCCTGTGGAAATTGGCCCACCTGTACACTTTCCCAAATGTAGAAACTAAACATTTCTATCTTGTGTTCCCCCAATGCTGTAGTGATGACTTTGCAGTGTGCACACACAGGTGTCTATCACTTTACCCGAATCAATGTTTTGGGGATTTATTTCCCTATGTGATTCAGTCTGGAGATCCTGTCACTACGTTGGCTTCACCAGAAGGCAAGATTTGGAAGGGAGCAGGGGTGGTGTTTGGCCTTCTCGGTTGTTGGTCCTGCCAGAGGTGGCTTCCCAGGGAAGAGCTAATGAAGTGTAGCCTGGATCCGTGCCTCAGCACCTCTTAAGCTGCAGAGGCCTGAGTCACCAAAGCTCGTCTGTGACAGCCCATGCTTTTCCAGTCTCTACTTTATGCCACTGTCACGTTCAATATGTTACTTTTAAATACATCAGGAAATGATTAAGTACAAGTTTGTACTTAGCCTGTTTCGCATGGTCTTTACTTCCCTGAAGAGCCTCATGTCACTGTAAAAAATGAAAGCTTAAACTCTTTGGTTTGGACTGGCATGTGTCAGCCACTAAGGCTGCCTGAACAAAACACTGCTGAATTTGTTGCAAAAAAGACAAGTCAAGCTGTTTGACATTTCACCTAGTCTTTCACAAGCTCTTGGAGCAGCTGCTGTTTAAGTTGCCTTGCTGGCATTTGGCTTTCCAGTACACCAGACTTGTTACTTAAATACCTTATCTGCATGACTATAAGTGAATGATAAATTACAGTGAAGAGGTAACTCTGGTATAATTAAGGTTGAGTCACATTTTGTTTGCAGACTGTATTTTAAGCTCTTTAAGACCTGTCTGTTGACTCATTTATATTTGTGCCATGTGAAAACCAGTGGTCTCAACTAATCCACATCACGCAGTCTACTAGTTGCTGGCAGAGCTGAGCTGGGTTGTGCCATATAGGTCTCTGGATATTGAATGACAGTGCTCAACCGGGGGGGGCAGTTTATGGAGAACAGGAACAGTGTCCTTACAGTGAAGGAACTGTAAGGTGGTGACTGAATGTGGTCATGCTCAATACCCACAGGGAGCATGCAGCAGCCAGGAGCTGAGAATGAGCATCCTTGGTACCCTACCACAAGCTCCCAAGTGCTGTGGGCCTGAGCATGAGCACATCTGCTGGGAGCAAGCTGGTTTCAGCTCTCCAATGCTTCTCCTTGGATTTATTCTCCTCTGGTTCATCCACATGCAATTTGGAGCGTGGCTTAATCTGTATAACTGAAAATGTGCTAAACAGTGAAGGATAATTAGGTAAACTAAATAAGAGGAGAGCGTCTTAAACTGGGTTTACTCCTATGCGGCTTATAATTTGGAGCAAGGGCTCAGCACTTTGTTTCTACTGGGACAGAGCAGCAGGGCACTGTAACAGGCTCTCAGCAGCATCTCTGGCAGTAAACTGGGGTTTCATTTAGCCAGAGTGACACTGGATTTACACTGGTGAGCTGCTCTGCGCAAGTCAGGGTACATTTACAGGTCTCCACAGTTGCTCAAAAACAAACTTCCAGGAGCATCTGCCCAGAGCTAAACCAGAAACCACTGTGCAGTGCTGCAAACCCAAGCTGCAGAACTGATCACTGAAATGATGCAGAAGGGATCCCCCAAAGGATGCAAATATCTTCCTGTCTCAGCAAAACACTCTCTTCCAACTCACTGCAGCAAAGCTTTATGCTGTTCAGTACATCCTGTAAGCATTTGTTGCTGTATCCTCTATCAGGAAGAAGAAAAAACAAGGCAGTAGTGGCAGTAATCTGAATTCTGCATCAGGTTAAGTAGTGGACCAAGTAACTCTGCAGTGCTGAATAGAATTGGCCATTCCTGGACACCACAGAGTAAAAGAGGAGTTACTGTCATCCGTACAAAAGGGTCTGCAGGTGCTGGAAGGGGGAGCTCAGATGGACTCCTACTGCAGTTAGCTTGTGGCAAGCTACTCCCTTTCCTTACTGCATTTGTTCTCCTCAGCCTTTCCAGAGTGACTGATACTTGACTCTCCTGTAGCTCTCCTCTGACACCTCAGTAATACCCAGGTGTTGCTTACCCTGGGATCAGGATAATAGTACCCGAGAGAGTGGAACAGTACTTCTGGCCACGTAATTTGGTTTTTACATTGAGCATGGTGTTGAGCTGTTAGCACTGAAAATCCATCTCAATGATAGAAGATGCAATGTCCAAATTGAGCTGAGGCAGCTGCAGTTTCCTCTG